TTGGATGGTAACTTGATGCCATCTGTGAAAAAGCTGAAGTTAAAGAGAGGATGGCTTCTACAAATGGATAACGATCCTAAACACACCTCGAAATCCACGGGGGATTACATCAAGAGGCGTAAACTGAAGGTTTTGCCATGGCCTTCACAATCTCCTGACCTCAACATCATTGAAAATCTATGGATAGACCTTAAAAGAGCAGTGCGTGACAGACAGCCCAGAAATCTCAAAGAACTGGAAGACTTTTGTAAGGAAGAATGGGCAAAGATACCTCAAACAAGAACTGAAAGACTCTTGGCTGGCTACAAAAAGCGTTTACAAGCTGTGATACTTGCCAAAGGGGGCAGTACAAGATATTAACTCTGCAGGGGGCCCAAACTTTTGCAGACGCCATTTTTTTGTTTTCTGTTATTTTGAAAGTGTAAATGATGGAAATAAAATCTAACTTTTGTTGACATATTATAAGAATGTCTAATCTGTAATTTGATGCCTTTTGGAGATTTTTCCATCTTTCCTTGGCTTCTTTATGCACATTAATTCAAATTTTTAGCTGGGGTGCCCAAACTTTCCATCCCCACTGTAACTCGTTTCTCTTCATTGTATTCCGGATTCTTTGATGAACTTTTTATTGCCTTCTACTATAATGGCAGAAAACAGATCAATCCGAATGAAGGCAACCTCATTAATACCTTGGGAGCCGAACCCAGACTTCACACGGGTACTGGATCCTGGTTAGGAGTAGGTTACATAGTTACATAGTTAGTCTGGCTGAAAAAAGACAAAAGTCCATCCAGTTCAACCATAGAAAAAAAAAAAAGTTATAATCCTACACCCACAGTGGATCCAGAAGAAGGCAAAAAACCCAGCAAACCACGATCCAATCTCCTCCTGCAGGGAAACATTCCTTCCTGATCCCCCGAGAGGCAATCGGATATTCCCGGGATCACCTTTCCCTATAAATGTTATATCCAGTTATATTCTGTGTATCCAAGAAAGGATCCAGGACTTTCCTACAGCAATCCACTGAGCTGGCCACAACCAACTCTGGAGGGAGTCTATTCCACATTCTCACAACTCTTACTGTGGTGGGGTGGGGATTGGGGGGGGGGGGGGGGGTAAATTGAGTGAAAAAAAGATCAGCGGCTTCCATATTTGTCTTCACATTTCTTACCAGACGATAAAAATAGCTCAACAAGGATGTAGAGGTGAGGAGGATAAAGTGATGCATGTGAAGAAGTTCCAGGCGAGCGGCAGAAAGCAGCGACTCGGAGACCTTCCTTCAGCGGAAAATCCCTTCATATTTTTCGGTGAAGTGCCGGCTGGTGGTGCGCGGCGGCTGCTGACAACGTTTTTAACGCTCCGATAATTCTCTTTGCTCCAATGAAATGACGGTTTAATTTTTAACTTTTTCTAAACTAAGGTCAGTCAATGTCACATCTACCATTTGGTGACGTCTACGAGAGAGAATAAAAAAAATTCAAAGTATCTTTTCTATCGCAGAGACACAGCAAGAGTGCGGTCAGCCGTGAGATTCTTCACAGTATTTCCATGAATGTTTGTAAAGGATTGGAAGGAATTGTGCGGCTTCCAAATTACGAGTCGCTGACCTGGAACAAGTGAGCAGCCAGCTAAGTATGAAAAGTCTTAGCGCTCTCCAAGGTCAGCGACTCGCTGGGTAGACATGGCGGGTTCATGGTGACCTCCCCGCAACTTCCACCTTTTAGAAACACATCAACAGTGACAACTCCAGCACTTCCCGAGAGGTCAAATCCAACGACAACCTCATGAAATCAGTCTTGTAATTGTACTTCAGTTTATCCATTCTTGTTAATCAGATACCCCGTCCAGGCTTGGTAAAAATACCTTTCCTCTTCTTCCCTCCTTCCTCTTCCTTCTTCCTCTTCTTCCTACCTCTGTCCTCCTACTTCTTCCTTCCTCCTTCTTTTTACTTCTTCCTCCTTCCCTTCTTCCTCTCTCCCTCTTCTTCCTACCTCTGTCCTCCTACTTCTTCCTTCCTTCCTCCTTCTTTTTACTTCTTCCTCCTTCCCTTCTTCCCTCCTTCCTCTTCCTTCTTCCTCCCTTTTTCTTTCTTTCCTTCCTCTCTCTTTCCTTCTTTCTTCCTCCCTCCCGCCTTCTGTCTACTTCCCTCCTTCTTCTTCATCCCTCTGTTCTATTTCTTCCTTCCTCCCTCCTTCTTTTTACCTCTTCCTCCCTTCCTTTTTTCTTCCTCCTTCCTTTTTTCTTCCTCCCTCCTTCCTTTTACTTCTTCCCCACTCCTTCTTTTTACTTCTTCCTCCCTCTTTCCTTTTTCTTACTTACTCCCTCCTTCCTTCCTCCCTTTTTTTCTTTCTTTCTATGCTCTCCCTTCCTCTTTCTACCTCCCTTTTTTTCTACTTCCTTCTGCTTCCCTCCTTCCTCTTCCTTCTTTCTACTTCCCTCTGTTCTCTTCCTTCTGCCTTCCTCTTACCTCTTCCTCCCTCTGTCCTCCTCCTACTTTTTCTTCCTTCCTTCCCTCCCTCCTTCCTTTTTTTCATCCTCCCTCCTTCCTTTTTTCATCCTCCCTCCTTCCTTCCTTCCTTCCTCCCTTCTTCCTTTTTTTCATCCTCCCTCCTTCCTTCTTTCTTCCTCCCTTCTTCCTTTTTTCTTCCTCCCTCCTTTCTTTCCTCTATTCTTCCTCCCTCCCTCCTACCTTCTTTCCTTCTGCTCTCCTTCCTCTTCCTTCCCCCCTCCTTCCTTCCTCCCCCCTACCTCTTCCTTCCCCCCTCCTTCCTTCTTTCTTCCCCCCCTCCTTCCTTCTCCCTCCTCTTTTCCTTTCTTGGGGTGGGTGGTGTGGGTGTTGGAGAAGACAGGGGGTAGTAAAAACATGTCTCAACTGTGGGGTTTTGCCACCCCTTCCCTAAACCGCAAATGTAAAAAGCCCTTACTGTCCTGAGCCCCTATAAGGCTGCCTGCACTGCAGTGCACCCGCACCGTGGATGTAGTGTAGTGCAGTGCGCCTGCGGGTTAGCTGCGCTTTGCCATAGACTTCTATCATCATGCGGGTGGGGCGCACCTTGTGAAATCTCAGCAGAACTCCTGCATTCAGTTTGAGGTGGTGGGCCATATCAGAAGGCTCCAAGGGCCACAAGCTGACACTATGTAAGAATTTTTTTGTTTTTGAGCTTTGGGCCCCTAAAGTCCCATAAGGTTTTTTTCCTATCTATATTATTTTGGGGATGATGGCCGAATCATTTCCTGACTGAACCTCTGACCACAATATGTTCTGGGTAGAAGAACCTTTCCTGAGCTGCACCTCACTGAAGGTGTGAAGACCTTTGTTGTCCTGTTAGTGTTCAGTGACATCAATGCTCATTGGATCCTGATGAAGATAATTTTATGGCGAAACGCGTAGATCCATGACGATCATTTACATCTAGGAGCTTTGGCGCTATGACACCTTCAAGCCACAATGTGATGTATGTCACTTTTTGGGTGGAAAGCTGGGATTGATTTATCTTTTTTTTACCTTTTTATAATTTTTTTTTTTCAATTTGTAATAAAGTTTCTTTGTTTTTATTTTTGTTTGCAGTATTCCTTGTAAGGCGCGCTTAAAGTCCCATCACCCAAATCTCTCTCTGATCCCGTTTGTTAGGATTGGCAGGAGATACATATGTGTACACATTGCACCAAAAGGGATGGTGCTTGCTGGGAAATATATGTGTTACTTGGATACACAGAATATAACTGGATAGAACATTTATAGGGGAAGGTGATCCCGGGAAATATCCGATTGCCTCTCGGGGGGTCAGGAAGGAATGTTTCCCTGCAGGAGGAGATTGGATCGTGCTTTGCTGGACTTTTTTATGCCTTCCTCTGGATCAACTTTGTTAACCCCTTCCTGTCCGGCCCAAGTATATAAACGGCCAGATGGTGGCAGTGCAGGGGCGGGTGGATGTTTATAAACGGCCTTCCCGCCCCTTGCTTGTGCACACTCCCTGGGAGCGCACAGCACCGCGATCCAGTGCCCACTGTATCCTCCGGACACAGTGGAACACCGATCATCGTACGGGACCTCTCTGCGAGGTCCTGATCATGTGATCACTGATTGGCCAATCAGTGATCACATGCAGAGTAGTAAGCAAGGTGTCACTTCTGACATCATTGCTTTCTACATGTGAAATCTGTGAATTATCACAGAGATCACATGGTACAGGGCTATTCACAACAGTCTTGTACCATGTGACAAGCTGTGACCAATCACAGCTCTCACAGTATTTTTCAATGGCTGCAGGAATGCAGCCAGAGAGAAGGAGAAATGATTCCTCCTCTTATAGCCTTTATGGGTGTAAACGCAATCAGTGTAAAAAAAAAAAAAAAATCATCACCCCCCACAAGTAGTACAGTGTCACCAAAAAAACATAATAATATAAAAAAATAAAATAAAAATGTAAAAAAAAAAATTTTAAAAATTATAATTTTTGGTTATAAACTAATTTTATTTATTTTTTTTTTTTTTACTAAAAAGATAACGGAATACATTTTGGCCAAGATTTATGATGAAATATTTATTTGCAAAATTTATAAGAAAAACACTTTTTTTTTCAAAATGTTTGGACTTTTTCATTTACATAGGAAAAAAAAAAAAAAATCCCAGCGGTGAATAAATACCACCAAAATAAAAAATTCATAATGGTACAGTGTTGCATGACCGCGCAATTGTCATTCAAAGTGTGATAGCGCTGAAAGCTGAAAAATGGCCTGGACTGGAAGGGGGGGGGGGGAAAGTGTCCGGACTGGGGGGGGGGGAAAGTGTCCGGACTGGAAGGGGGGGGAAAGTGTCCGGACTGGAAGGGGGGGGGGAAGTGTCCGGACTGGAGGGGGGGGGAAAGTGTCCGGACTGGAAGGGGGGGGAAAGTGTCCGGACTGGAAGGGGGGGGGAAAGTGTCCGGACTGGAAGGGGGGGGAAAGTGTCCGGACTGGAAGGGGGGGGGAAGTGTCCGGACTGGAAGGGGGGGGGGGAAAGTGTCCGGACTGGAAGGGGGGGAAAGTGTCCGGACTGGAAAGGGGGGGGAAAGTGTCCGGACTGGAAGGGGGGGGGAAAGTGTCCGGACTGGAAGGGGGTGAAAGTGTCCGGACTGGAAGGGGGGGAAATTGTCCGGACTGGAAGGGGGGGGGAAAGTGTCCGGACTGGAAGGGGGAGAAAGCGTCCGGACTGGAAGGGGGGGGGAAGCGTCCGGACTGGAAGGGGGGGGGAAGCGTCCGGACTGGAAGGGGGGGGGGGGAAGCGTCCGGACTGGAAGGGGGGGGGGAGCGTCCGGACTAGAAGGGGGGGGGAAGCGTCCGGACTGGAAGGGGGGGGAAGCGTCCGGACTGGAAGGGGGGGGGAAGCGTCCGGACTGGAAGGGGGGGGGAAGCGTCCGGACTGGAAGGGGGGGGGGGAAGCGTGATTCCGGACTAGAAGGGGGGGGGAAGCGTCCGGACTGGAAGGGGGGGGGGGGGGAAGCGTCCGGACTGGAAGGGGGGGGGAAGCGTCCGGACTGGAAGGGGGGGGGGAAGCGTCCGGACTGGAAGGGGGGGGGAAGCGTCCGGACTGGAAGGGGGGGGAAAGCGTCGTCCGGACTGGAAGGGGGTGAAAAGCGTCCGGACTGGAAGGGGGGGAAAAGCGTCCGGGACTGGAAGGGGGGGGGAACTGGAAGGGGGGGGGAAAGCGTCCGGACTGGAAGGGGGGGGGAAGCGTCCGGACTGGAAGGGGGGGGGGAAGCGTCCGGACTGGAAGGGGGGGGGAAGCGTCCGGACTGGAAGGGGGGGGGAAGCGTCCGGACTGGAAGGGGGGGGGGGGAGCGTCCGGACTAGAAGGGGGGGGAAGCGTCCGGACTGGAAGGGGGGGGGGGGGAAGCGTCCGGACTGGGAAGGGGGGGGGGGGAAGCGTCCGGACTGGAAGGGGGGGGGGGGGGAAGCGTCCGGACTAGAAGGGGGGGGAAGCGTCCGGACTGGAAGGGGGGGGGGGGGAAGCGTCCGGGACTGGAAGGGGGGGGAGGGGGGAAGCGTCCGGACTGGAAGGGGGGGGGGGGAAGCGTCCGGACTGGAAAGGGGGGGGGAAGCGTCTGGACTGGAAAGGGGGGGGGGGAAGCGTCCGGACTGGAAGGGGGGGGGGGAAGCGTCCGGACTGGAAGGGGGGGGAAGCGTCCGACTGGAAGTGGTTAAGGGAGGAGAGTTAGCTGTCTGTCTAATCATACCTCAGTCCCGTGTAGTGAGGGCAGAACAGACGGGGATATCGAAGGTCAGAGATCTCCTCCCAATCATTTTCAAGCTTCTGCATAAAGACAAGAAAATCCTGAATTTTTTCGGTTGACTAATTGTAAGCTCAGTGGATTGCTGTAGGAAAGTCCTGGATTCTTTCTTGGATACACAGAATATAACTGGATAGAACATTTATAGGGAAAGGTGATCCAGGGAATATCCGATTGCCTCTCGGGGGGTCAGGAAGGAATGTTTCCCTGCAGGAGGAGATTGGATCGTGCTTTGCTGGGTTTTTTGCCTTCCTCTGGATCCACTGTGGGTGGAGGATTATAACTTTTTTTTTTTTTAATGGTTGAACTGGATGGACTTTTGTCTTTTTTTAGCCAGACTAACTATGTACTTGGCACCGCCCCCAAAAGTGTCATTATTCTTTGTAGTTCACTAGAAACAATTTTTTTTATATTTTTGTGTTTTTTTGGCTTTTAGGTTGAATAATAGGCACAGTAATGATTTCTGGTATTCTCGTTTTTTTTTTTTTTCCTTTTCCAGACTTTTGACAGGAGGAGCTTGCTGAGATTGTGATCTCTTACTCAAAGCAATGCAGTCAGCAGTAGGGGATTGGCTGACCTCATCTGCTGTCTGGAGCTGATCTCTTTGTTGCGCCATGACGTGCTTCTGACTGTATTCATTGGTCGTTTTAGGGGGCTTTCGATGAGAAGGATTGCACTTCCCGGCACTCTATCAATCCATACAGCAACAGAGAAAGTAGGATTCTTTTCAGCACGTGGAACCTGGACCACCGGTAAAGTCATGTGTGTTTTTTGTGGTTGGGGGAGGGGGGATAAGGTTTTTTGTTTTTTTTTTTAATCTTTAGCCATCATGTGCACTGAACTTTTTTACAGCGGCTGTTTTTGGCTTGTGACTTTTTTTGTCTACAGCCAGTAAACCCCCCAGCATGTTATCCTAGGTGTCCCATACACATAAAGACTGCAATCAACGTTTTTTTTGGCAGGAAAAACTTAGGACTAGCGGGATCATAGAGGAGTTTTGTAGCTGTAAAAAGGCTTTTAAACCTGAAACACGCGGTTAAAAAAAACTGCAAACTGGCATTTTTGGCTGCTTTTTTACCCCCCAATTTTTTTTTAGCTGTGAAAAAAAGCTCTAACGCTGAAACACGCGGTAAAACACTGGAAACTGACATTTTTGGCTGCTTTTTTACCCCCCCTTCATTTTTATGGGGGAGGGTTAAAAAGCCCGCTAAAAACATCAAATGTGGGAAAACGCCACTAATCGCTGAAAAAATGCCGCTAATCGCAGCAAATCGCTAATGCAAAAACTCTAAAAAAAAGCTGAAAAAAACTCAGTTTTTTATCATGACTTTACACATCTAATGTTACCAGCGTTATCAAAATGCCGCATTCTATAGTAACCCCCAGCTCTGCTGATTCCCCACTCATTAGTAACTTCCAGCTCTGCTGATCCCTAGCTCTACAGATTCCCCGCTCTGTAGTAACCCCAAGCTCTGCTGATGCTGATTCCCTGGTCAGTAGGATCCCCCAGCTCTGCTGATCCCCCACTCAGTAGTACCCCCAGCTCTGCTGATTCCCTGCTCTGCAGTAACCCCCAGCTCTGCTGATTCCCCGCTCTGTAATAATCCACAGTTTTGCTGATTCCCTGGTCAGTAGCAGCCCTCAGCTCTGCTGATTCCCCTCTCAGTAGTAACCCCCAGTTCTGCTGATTCCCTGTTCTGTAATAACCCCCAGTTTTGCTGATTCCCTGGTCAGTAGCAACCCCCAGCTCTGCTGATTCCCTGCTCTGTAGTAACCCCCAGCTCTGCTAATCCCCTGCTCAGTAGTAACCTCCAGCTCTGCTGATTCCCCGCTCTATAGTAACCCCCAGCTCTACTGATTCCCCGCTCTGTAGTAACCCCCAGCTCTACTGATCCCTGTTGTGTCTGTGTGCACTAAGATGAACTTTAGTGTATTTTTTACTTTTAAATTTTGCGTTTCATCAACCTTTGCGCTAATATTGTGTGACATAAAGAATTGGAACTACCGCCGTGCTAATTCTCCAGGGTATCTGCCTTCAGAAATATTTCATGTTTGGGGGTTTTATGTAATCTTCAAGCCTAAATTGTACTTTCAAATATTTGTGTGTAAAAAAAAAAAAAGGTCCTTAACCATTTCCTGTCCATGTATATAAACGGCTGGATGGTGGCAGTGCAGGGGCGGGTTGCTGTTCATAAACGGCGCCTGCCATTTTGGACTGTGTGTGCTCCCTTTTGAGCACGGCACCGCAATCCGGTGCCCGCTGTGTGCTTCGGACAATTATTAAACGTATTCTCCATGGGGAAGAGACACTTAGGAGATACCTAGTGTACCGCTTTGGACACAGCGGAACACCGATCGCTGTACGGGACCTCTGTGTGAGGTCCCGATTATGTGATCACTGGTTGGCCAATGCAGAGTAGTAAGCAAGATCTCACTTCTGACATCATTGCTTACTACGTGTGAAATCTGTGAATGATCACAGAGGTCACATGGTACACGGCTATTCACAACAGCCTTGTACCATGTGACAAGCTATGACCAATCACAGCTCTCACAGCATTTCTCAATGGCTGCAGGAATGCGTGTGTGTGTGTCTGTGTGTGTATATATATAATGTAAAAATATGTATAAATGTGTGAAACTCACTTTAGAATTCACATATTTTGTGTGATTTCCGTACTTTAGGATTGAGAAGAGTCGGACGATCTTGCCCTGCTTGGTGGAAGCCGTGAAGGAAAGTGACGGGAGGCGGGTCACCACCAATATTTTTTTGACCTTTTATTTACCATGAAGAACCTCAAACTGGTCCACATAGCCTGTCATAAGAAAAACCGCGCACAGCCTGTCCTGTGATGGCTCCAAGGTTTACACCAATCAGAAAAGACCCCGAAATAAGAGAACTCGGAGCCAAGTGTCATGAAGGGATTAGGGGGCGATCTTCATTATTTGGGGGGGTTGTATTTTTTTTTATACTTTTTTATCATGGCAGCTATTTAAAGAAGAACAAATTGACTTTTCAGCACTGACTGATATTACCTCATTGGTTTTATTACAAAGGATGTATTATTTTTTTTACCCGCCATGAAATCTCCCGTGTATTGATTGATTATTGATCGATTGATTGAAAATATAAATGCAGCTTTTGTGTATCTCCAACATCTATGAACGGCTCCTGTTTATTTGTATGAAAGATTCGCTGCAGAATTCCGAAGCTTAACTCCAAGCAGACCCAAATATTTGCACTCTTTTCATGAATACATAACTATTTGTATTTTTTTTATTCCCTTGGATTTGTTCCGGTATCCGTCCCCCGCAGTCCCTGTCCATAGTTGGGGAGGTTGAATAGACATCCGTCCAGTTTTCCGTATCCCTGAACATTGCGCTCGCTAAGACACATCTAAATTTTCTTAGAATTTATCTCCGCTGACACCGCCAGCTGTGGAAGGGAGGTCCACATCCTTACCGCTCTAACAGTAAAGAACCCCTAACATGGTTTAGGATTGCACCGCCTCTCACCCGACTTCATTGTTCGTCCGCATGTCTTCTTCAGAGACCAAAGATTAAATTGTTCCTCCCAATGATGGTCACCTTCAGAGATTTGTATAATCGCTATCATATCTCCTAAGTGTCTCTTCCCCATGGAGAATACGTTTAATGATTGTTGTCATCCCCCATAACTGAGCTCCTCCATCCCCCATAACTGAGCTCCTCCATTCCCCCATAACTGAGCTCCTCCATCCCCCATAACTGAGGTCTTTCATCCCCCATAACTGAGCTCCTCCATCCCCCATAACTTAGATCCTCCATCCCCCATAGTGGAGCTCTTTCTTCCCCCATAACTGAGCTCCTCCATCCCCCATAACTGAGGTCTTTCATCCCCCATAACTGAGGTCCTTCATCCCCCATAACTGAGATCCTCCATCCCCCCATAGTGGAGCTCTTTCACCCTCCATAACTGAGCTCCTCCATCCCCCATAGCTGAGCTCTTCCACCCCCACCCCCCCCCCCCCCCCCATACCTGAGCTCCTCCACCCCCCATAATTAAGGTCCTCCACCCCCCCATAACTGAGGTTCTTCATCACCCATAACTGATTCTCCTCCATCCCCC